TACGATCGGCACGGAATACATGTAATTAGGATCTTCGTGGGGGATCGCCAAAGTGTTTACGGTAAGATTTTCATGTATAATTTAGTTGAGCATTATTGCGGAATTAAGGGATTTATTGTTACTACGGTAACAGTAGTATTCATTAACATTGATATTTTTGCTTTGTCATGATTGAAATATATCCAATTCTTTGGCTGAACAACAGCTTTTGCGTCAATATCGTCGTCATTTATTAGTTATTAGATTTTTCGTCGCATTTAGCGTTATCGTCAGTGGTGATTTTAGCTAGATTAATTTCGGCCAGATAAGTTTAGTTTTATTGGTTGTGTCCTCACTTGTTGCTAGCAGTAGCTTTGCTGTGGATTATTATTTTATTGTTATCATTATTATTACTTGGTCGTCATGAATTCTTTATATACAATCTTGAATTCTTCAAGTTGTCAATGACATTTTGGTTGATGAGTGGAAGTTTGCTACCTTTACCAGTTATAGGTCTTTTCTTCAATTTTTTGCCATTGATGCTTAGTTTTTTTATTTTGTGGTGAATTCTGATTTCTTTGGTAGGTGGTTGCAGCTTGGTAGAACAGTTGAATTCTCTTGTTATTATTGTTCCGCAAAATAGTCAATTTCCTATTGGAAATGCCACAATTTGTGATTTAATCACTCGATGCAATACAATAGTTTTGACGTTCCTTTTGCTGTTGTGGGGGAGGGTTCTGTCTGGGAAAGAAGCAAAAATTCTGAAGGGGAAGGTCAAAGCTTAGCCTATCTAACGATCATTGCGCTTACCTCATATGTGATAGTTTGTGATCTGAACACTCATTGCAACCAAATCTAGCAATCGTGACTAGGATCATTTGGCTCAATGAAATTTTTTAGAGTTGTGACATACGTAATCATTAAGTGATGGTTTAATATCAACAATATTTTATTATAATAATACACTTATGATGGTTAAAATTATATAAAAATGCAAAAAATTATTCTTTAAGGGTTATCAAACTTACAATATATTATTTGGATTACAGAATTATTTATTCAGTGGATACATTTAGAATTAGATGTGAAAGGTATCAATGAGAATATATCATAATGCGATAATAATTTATAGAAATCCATCACAATGTAGTAATAATTAATGAGAAATATAAAGTGAAAAGTTAGGGATAAGAACAAGAGACAGATTACTTAAAAAGAAAAATTAGATTTTAGAGAATTAGAACAAACAATTTCTTTAGCTTTATCTATCCTAATTATTATAATCTTTCTTTAGCTATATCTATCTTATTAAATAAAAACTATCATTTTTCCATAATAAATGAATTCAAGCAATTAAATAAAAAATTAAGTTTGTTTATTAAATAAAAATTATTATTACTATTTCTATTATACAAAATCTACAAATAATCTATTATTATAATTCTCTATTATTATTATATTTGCATATATCTTTTGATAAAACTAATAATAACTATAAAAAAATTAAATGATAACAATAAATAGAAAAGAAATCAATAAGTAAAATATAAAATATTTTATCAGATATTATGACTTCTGAGTTATTTAGTAATTTACTAAAAATGATTAACAATATTTGTAAATTTACTTAATTATTAAGTATTAAACTTTCAAGAATTTGTTCAATATTATATTATAAGTTTTATCAATTTTATCTAATATACTTTTATTCTTTCTAACTATATAAGAATATTTTCTGTCAAAAAATTCCTAATTTTTAAATTTTTAGCTTTCTAATCTTTGCATTTTTAATTATTTTTTACAAGCTCATTTTTTAATATTCTGTTTTGCTAACTAAATAATAAGAGAAAAAACATTCTATTAAATATTTGCTCAAGAAAAGCTTAATAATGAGAATATTTTTTGTAAAAGAAATTAATAAAACAATTCTTATAATAATCATGATTACATGTAATTAATATAAAATTTTTAATTATAATTTCTAAAGTCTTATTACAATAATCATATTTATTTATTGCTAAAATATATTCACTATTAAATTCTAATAGTATTTGCTTCTTATTTATTATAATATTTAATTTTGCAAGGTATAATTGATATTTTTCTTTAATTATTTGGATATTTTTATTTTTTTCAAATTCATATAAATCTTCAAAATTTGAAGCAAAAAAATCTTTATTTTTGTTATAAATAATAATAATACTTTTTATTAAACTTAATAATATTATACTTAATAATAAAGATTTTTTAAAGAAATTTATAATTTTTTCCAAATTAATTATTTGAGAACTATTTTGTAAATTTCAATAGCAATAAATATTTCAAATAATATTTTATATATTTTTAATTGATAATATGATGCCGGAAGGTTATACCTGACAATCACATAATTTGTTTCAATTTTATAAAATGATCGATAAATTCATGTGATTAATTAACAACCAATAAAATTACATATGTATATCCAAGTTAGGACAACTTAATGCGCAATATTATCTTGCTATGAAAATGGAAAAGGCACTACCAAAGATAAATAAAAA